AGTTAGGTCAATTCTAAGTGCTCTGAGGTTATTACAGCACTTTTTTAACGAAAAATGGCATTGCTAACAACTGTTCCTTGAGTAGTCATTATCTGTCTCTGAGGTGCTTTCTCAGCTCCGAAATTCAGATCCGCCATGTCAGCTGTGTGGCACTGCTGTCACTCTGTGTTTCATCTTTCTGACAAATGGATGGCAGCATCAAAGAACTTATCCATGTGCTGTGTGTTCTGTTCATGTTTCATGTCACGGTTTTAAAGCATGGAACTCCTGCACCGGCCACATACACTCTTAATAATAAGGGTTCCACAGCGGTACCTAAATTGGAACTACAGTTCTAGAAAAACCTTGAATTACTATGGAACTTTCACATTAGGTGGAAGGTTCTATAAAGTTTCAAAAGTTTTTTTACACTCACACATTTCATATATAGTAATGTGCAAACGTCCACCACCTTTCATTTCTATTATCAAAACAAAACAGCCAAGTATTTAGACAACTAAATATAATAGAGTTATCAGTATTTGTTGTGTCCACACTTTGCATTTGTTACAGTTTCCATTCTTTTCAGTAGACTTGCTTTTTGTTTCTCGAAGAAATCTGCAGGAATATTTTTCCACACCTCCAAAGTTCAGTCATAGAAGTTTGTTGCATTTTCTGCTTCTTACAATCCAAGTAATCCCAAAACACATTCAGTGATGTTGAGGTCTGGACTCTGCTCTGAGAACACCAGCAGCTTCTTTGTTTCATTTGCAGGTTTTCTACTTTTTTCTCTATTTCTCACATCCTTTCAGACCCATGGCATTGAGTTGTCTTCTCACAGTGGAAGGATGGACAGAAACACCTGTGGATTAATTCAGATTTGAAGTAAGAGTGGAGCTTGATTTTCTACTATATTCAACTTAAGACTTTTTTTGAGAGATAGAAGAGGAATACATGAAGTATTGTTTATCTTATTGTTTTTATTGGGACAGTTTTGGTGGTCTACAAGGCCTTGGATGGTTACCAGGAGTCTCATTTTCTCTTTTTAGGAAATTTAGTTCAGGAAATTACTGGTTTTTTTTTTTTTACTTGTTTTCTTTTGACTTTATCTGTTTTGACTCTAAATAAATGAAGGCTGGTCTCTGACTTTTGTACAGCACTGTACAATAAGGTTCATAAGGGACCCAAAAGTGTTTCTTTTATGCCATTGTTTTAAATAACCTCTTTTTCACTTTTTTTATTTTTAAGAGTCAACAGAGGACACTTATGCAATTAAAATACATCGTCTTGTAGTCGTATAGATAAAAGGCGTCATTAATTTCTCTGATCAGTTGCAGCAGGCCTGTTCTCTACATTGTGAACTGAATGCAATGTTTTCCTGTTCAGTAACCCATCTGGAGGTTAGCGGTGGGGTTGCAGCGTGGGTGGACACTGTGAGGGACTCACAGCAGAAGGCTGGCAGTGATGTCTTGGCATGACAGCTTAGTTTCAGCTCTTCACCCGCTCCCTACTGCTGGTTTAATTAGCCATCCCACACTAGGTGCTGTGTAAAGAGTGCTCCTGCTGACAAGGGTAACCTGCAGTCCCAGGAGAGCTAGCTCATGGAGTGTGTATTATGACAATAGAGCACAAAACAGACAGAGTAAGAGAGGGATGAGGCGAGAAAAGAGAGTGAGACAGAAAGAAGGGGAACAGGATAAGGAGAGGACCGAGAAAGGAAGGGAAAGCAACAGCAAGAACAAAGGACAAAGAACACTGAAAGCAGTGTGTCTGTGCAGGCAGTGGTTGACAGTATTCATCTTTTTCCTCTCCCTGTTGTGTTTATTAAAACCTCCCTGGTGTTTATTAAAAATGCATGATAAATTCACTTAGGATGTTTTTGAAATGGAAATCTTGTTGCCATTGACAGTCCTGGAGCATGACTGTTGGTTTCAGATCAAATCAGCTTTTAGACTAACAGCAGGTTATGATGTCAGTGCATTCAGTACAGACCTGTAGAGTTTGTCTCATTGGCATCTATTAAGTACATAATGGAGGTTAAATGCTGATATGTAATGCTGCTGATATGACTAATGAGCTGCTGCTTTGTCTTTGGATGTCCTCCACATCCATTTGGGAAGCCAATTTGTAAGGTGTCCTCCAGTGCACACATGATACCAACACTTAGCTGTAAACTGAACACTTATCAGCGCAGACTGTTATAGGACTATTCAGACTGTTACAGATTGTTACACTGCTGCATTATTTAGACTGTTACAGGCTGTACAGACTGTTGCATACGTACTGAGTGATACAGTATATTTTCATTGTCAAAAAAAACCTTGTGTTTCCATTTTGTTCTTCGTTTTAATTTTTTCAACAGAATTTGAAACCGTCAGCTCTTTACACTGTTAATTTGATGATGAATGGACGAATAGAAATGGTCCAAAATTACATGGAAAAATATTGGAAAAAATATTGTTCCATTAACTTCCATACAAAGGTAACAGATACAAGGTTTTGTTCCAACAGTGATGATATGCAGAAATATTGCTGACAAAAACTAAGCTTACTAGGTCACAGCTGTACTAATGAGTGTACTATTTCTGTCCTGCTAGATGTTTGGTATACTCTTTATGCATGTTTGGGCATAATTTTGCACTATATTTCCAAAGGTTTACAAACACCCCTTCTAATAAAGGAATTCAGCTACTTTAAAGGCCAGCATAAAGGAAAACTGACCCTTTGCTTTTTGAAAACAAGAGTTTGGTGTTAACATTGGGCCTCATTTACCAACTGTTCTTAAGAAGAATTTTTTTTAACCCACTTACGCAGTTTTCACAAAGATTCTGACATTCACCAATTTTATCTTAGGTAAGAACACAATCTACGCACACTCAGGAGCACGAAGGTGTGAACAATGCTGCGGTTTAGACCCTTACATGGTCAGGGCCCACCGGTGGGCCCAGAGTTTTACACACTCCTATAACCTAAAAATATCACAACCAGCTTGTACTGAAGTCCCTGTAATTACTGAACAATAAGCCTTAGTATGTAATAAGCCTGGGATTTTAAAAGGTTAAGAACATGTCATGAATCTGATGTGGACTTTTTCTTAGAACCTTTCTCAAGAACGAATTTAAGAAAAAACCTAGGGAGATATTGGAGAATGAAGCGCAATGTTCAAGTTTCCAATATGTACCATTCCCTCCCCAACCCAGACAGTCTATATATGGAAACTGGGCTACAAAACTTATTTTGAATTGATTGTGATTGTGATGTCCGAAAAAAGTCATGTAGTCATTTACATATATCTGACTTCTCAGTTTACAGCACTTTAGCCTCACCCATTCATGCTGAAGCTATAAGCAATATTTCTGCCCAGAATGAGCCACAATAGAGAACAGCCAATCAGAACAGGGCTTATTTACACGTATCAGTCTTAAAGGCCTAGTACAAATACATAGTTCAGAAACAGCAATTTTCATTCTAAGGGATAAAGAGAGGGTGGTAAATGGTTTGACGAAAATGAATTGTGGCTGTTTTAGGCATGTAAAATCACAAAAACTTTATAAATGAACTTCAGAAGAAAAAAAAAAATTAAAATGTAAAAAACATGTAGAATATGTGTCCTTTAAGGTCCACATCTGGACTAGTTTCGTGTCATCATCCAGATATTTATAGATCCGTCACTTCTATATGAAAGAGGTTAAAGGCCCCAACCCGGTTCCTTTCTCACGACTGACTCAGTTTTTTATAGAGGCACATACGGGTGAAATAAAGGGGTTATTGGCAAACTGCACAAAACCATTTGTTTAATGAATAAAAATTCTACTAATTATGTGAGACTTTGATGGGAACAAGATACACAGGAAAAGATAACAGAGAAAGTATGGTCACGAGTATGGGAAAACCATTGTACTTCCACTAATTCATTGATTTGGAGGGATTTTTTGCTGGAAGAGTCTGATCAGATTTTTTATAACGCCCAAACTCAAATTAAGGTTAACTGGGGCCCACTTCCCCTGCTGGAGGGAGTGTGGGGCAATGGACGTAGACCATGCGCATGTAGTATGGTGTTGCCCAAAAATTCAGTCCTTTTGGATTAATATGGGCAGAATTATTTCCGACATCTTGGGTTTTAATGTGGAGGTGTCATTTAATTTAAATGTATCTTGATGTAACCCCTGAAGGGTTAAGTAAGAGTGATTGCTACCTATTGAATATATTTCGCTTGTAAGAAAGCTATTACTAAGTGCTGGCTCAGAAGAAACCCCCCTAACTGTGGACCTTTTTGTTGAAATTGTTACTTATATTCGCTCCATGGAAATGTTGACTTACTCTGTACGTCTTCAAAAGGAGAGAGGGAAAAAAAACTGGATGAAATGGGATTGCTACACCTGAGTAAGCGTGGTGAACTGAGACCTTTGACTCTGATCATTCTGCCTTTTGTATGTAAACAGAGATTGTTGTTGAGTTTTATGTTTGAGATGTTGTACCTGTAAACCTCTGACTTTAAATAAGATCTCATGTACTTTTGTTTTTTTGTTTTTTTTTCTGCCACCTCTTTTGTATTTTTTGGATATGAATGTGAATTTGCACAAAACAAAAAAAAATTAAGTTAAAACAAAAACAAAAAAAAAAAACAAAACTAATCATCCAACATCAGTACCTGACCTCACTAATGCTCTTGTCACTGAATGCAATCAAATCTTCACAGCAATGTTCAACATCTAGTGTAAAGCAGTCCCAGAAGAATAGAGGCTGTTACTGCAGCAAAGTGGGGACAAATTCCTTATTAATACCCTTTATTGTTAGATGAGCAGCAAATTTTGAAAATGTTGTGTTTATGTGAGGAACATATTTCAGCTTCTCTGCACTCTAATTATGATCTTCCAGTGTGGTTAATAACCCAGAGGTTTTCAATCTTCAGCCTTCCTCAGCCCTGCATTACTTGAATCAGTGTTGAAAGCTGAAACAGAAGAAAAAACCTTGTGTCTTAATGAACACCAGCTCTAATTTTGATTCTGTTGATGCTTCAGACACAGCATTCACCCTCAGGGTTCAGCTGAAGGATGCAGTGAGCCACCAGCTTCTGAGTGAGGCGTCTGTGGACGTCTTTGCACACTACACACTTATCAGCTCCACCAAGACCAGCAGTGATGGATCCAGTGTACTCAGCATACCATATGCACAGGGCAGGGAGCTCACCCTGGTGGCCAGCAAGGATGGCTACATCCAAACAGCACTGCCTTGGAAAACCACCAAGAGGCCGAGTAAGTAAAAATGACTGCCGAACAAAACACAAAAAACTGACGGGGAAGTTTAAGAGAAAAAAAGGTTTGTGAACAGGTCTAATGAACAAGTGTATGTTTTTGCTCAATGGGCTGTCGCCATCTAGCGGAGCGTAAGTGTAGCTGCACGGTGTGTGGGATGTTTTTGTGATACCATTGTATTAACAATGTGTGGTAATGTTTGGTTTTGTTTTTATTTGTTTTTCAGTATTTTCATCTGTGACTTTGTCACTTTTCTCCCAAAACCAAGGAAACATATGGCTATTTGAAGATTCTGTCCTCATAACAGGCAAAACCTCTGGTATGGAGACATATCTTGCATTTGATCAAAAGAAACCTATGGTACAGTACAAAGGTAGCAGTAGTGCAACCTTTGGCAGGGGGGAAGGAGGGCAATCACACTGGGGGCCATGGTGACCTGAAATCTTTATTGGGCACCTCATATAAAGACTGACACAAATGTGGAATGAAGACTCACAGAACAATCCAATCTCTTAACAACATACTTCACCAGTTAGCTTCCATCAGCACTACACAGACAGCACTGATGTCTGTTTATCTCCCTCTTATTCATTATGCATCTCATCCATGGCAGTTTTCAATCCGATCCTTTGTAACCTGCAACATGATATGAAAGATTATAGACCATTTTCTAGATTTTTTTATGAGATAATTTGTTGGGAGCAGACTTTACATATGCAAGAAAAAGTCAATGTTTTATGATTAATACCACCTTAATGCTGTGTTAATGTGTTTTCATGATATGTTAAATGTTATTCTTTTCAAAAACTTGTTTCTTTTTATTTGCTCAATTTGAATTTAACATATAAGAAAACAATAAAATATAAAGTGTGCCTTTTTTTTTGCCTTTTGTGCCTTTTGCACAGGCCATGTTTGAGTTTTTTCTAATAAGTTAAAATCAGTTAGCAAACAGTAATTGTGTATTTAAATATGCAGAAGTATGTTCTCTGCAGAGGATGTAATAACTTATTTTTACTTCAATCAACAAAACATGTAATTTGACTGTATTCCTTATGAAATGAATGACATCTTCTATAGGTAGTCTAATGTAAACATTTAGGTTAACGTTAGATGCTAGTTGGATGGAGTAGCATGCCTTAAGAGCTTGTTTGAGACAATAGCAAGTAAACAAGCAAATTACATTGTAATTGTATTGGTTACTGGCTATATTAAGCTATAAAAAGCTCTCTACAATGCTTATCTGTTGCCAGATGCCATGCCCCAGCCAAATGTGCAGTTCCCAAAGAGCCTGCTATCTTTACCAGTGAGCAACATCTCGTCCTTATCAGCCTACCTGACTGGGCCTCAGAAACACTACTTCCCCTACACCACAGGAATTATCATTAGCAAGTCAGGTGAGACTTAATATTACCGAATGCATGTATTTAGTATTACTGAAACAACCGTTTTGAGAGCAATCATGTATGTTTGTGGGTGTGTTTTGTACTCACAGGGTATAGAAGTATTGAACTAAAGCCAGCTGCTGCAGTTAGTGTCCAGCTCCTGTGTAATGGAGGAGAAGTCCAGGTCACAGGGCCTATCCAGATCACTCTGCCTCTTCCTGAAAGCAGCCAATCTAAGCCTTCTGACACAATCCCAGCCTGGTCCTTCAACAGAAAGACGGGTAGGTCTAGACTTCCTGGAATCACTTCATAACCACTGTTTTAATTAAGAAATATATATACAATATTATCTTCATACAGTAGTAACTTCTTCAAAAGCAGTGAAAAGGTCTGTATGATGCTTGGGCTAAGCTCATGCTTTCTTTTTAATGCCTTGTTAATTGTCTCTTTTTGTTTCATGATTGAACAGCACTTTGAGTTGTATTAGAAACTGTATAAAAAAAGTGCCGTACGAATCATATTATTACTAATTATACCTTTTTGTTGATTCAGGTGCATGGGTGAATCGTGGTCTGGGAACAGTGAAGAAGGAGGACAGACATTTGGTCTGGGTATACGTCGCTCCCCATCTTGGCTACTGGATAGCTGCTCCTTTTCCTTCACCCACAGGTAGAAATCTGTCATTGTCCTCCACATCATCATCCTCTGTAGTGGCCTTTGACATCAGTGCTTTTATTCCTTCTCAGGGAAATGCATCAGTAACCAGATTTCTCTTTTTGAAAACTAGGTTACATGGGAGGTGAAAGCACTCTAGACTTCATTTCATACCATTCGTACCTTCTGATGGCAACACTAGGTGGAACATTAGTGATTGCTATTGGACTGTGTGGTGTGGTGTCTTGCTACTGTAGGTAAGACATTGTTCTATGTTGAGTTTTGCACTGACATTAATGTCCTTACTGTGACACTATTGTCCTTACTGTTAATCATCTTGGTAGGAGTGGGCGATATGGCAAAGGGATAACATCACAGTACCCGAAGGAATTTTCACAACACACAATGTATATCACAATATTGAGGTTTGATGAGTTGGAATAAACAAAAAAGGTGACAAAAACTGAGTACAGTGATTTTTATTCAGTGTTTCACATGCTCCACTAGATCCAATTAAACAGGACTAATTCTGCTTTCTTTTGTAATGAAAAATGCAGTTGATCATTGAACTTTAAGTACTGATAGTATCCACAATATTCTTAGAAAATGTTGTGACATAATTCATTATAATAACGATAAATACCTTCATATCGTCCACCATGTCAGATTTTTACCTGTTAATGGAACTTCCTTGTGCTACATATTAAAGAGATGTAACTGTTAGAACATGTGAAAGAGTTATTGAGTCAACATAAGAATTATCAGCAATATATTATTCCTGCTGTTACTTGCATCAGAATAAAATGTAGATTAGAATAAATTCATAGATGCTTGTCTTTGCTGCATTCTGTTATATTAAATTGTCAGCTGTTGTGTCAGTTGTAAATATGTCAACGCAAGCCGGCAATACATGATCTAGTTTCATCCTGGGAGCAACCATATAATGTCCTGTCAGTTTAAAAGTAGTCAGTTCGATGTCTGACTACTTCAGCTAAAAATACTACTATTTTTTTGGTTTCCTTTAGGGACTCTCTATGCAAGTTAGAGAGGAAGAGAGTCAGCAGCACAACAAAAGCAGTTCAGAAGAAAGATCAGACCACCTGCACAAACAACAGTGACCGCCTGGACATTTCCTTGAAAAATCCAGAGCGCTCTCCTGAGGAGAGGTCTCACTCAGCTGCATCTCAAAGTACTTTTCAAAAGGATCAATCTGTCAACTGTGAGATCAAAGGGAACTTCAGTACCTTCAAGAAGAAAAGTGGGCATCCAGCACTTCATATCTATGAAAATATTGGTGGAATAGTTGCAGAATCTTCAAAGCCTTCACAGCAGCCTCACCTGTGTATCACCAGCAGTGAGTTAGTGATGCCTGTATCTTTGAATGAAAACATGTTTCTTCCGGAGAGCTTAGTCCTCTTCAACCAGCCAGTGGCTATACTACAGGTACCAGAGGGCTTCAGGTCATCAGGGAAAGCATCAGGCAGCAGGTCCGCCACACTACCCAGGAAGGTTGTCCAGTATGAGAATCTGGAAAAGCCAGTTAGCAAAGACACTTTTGCACAAACTTTACCAAAACCAAGTCAGCTTTCAGACGTCCAGCAACAGCTCAAAGAAGAAGCGGTAACCATGAAGATCCCATATGGGGACCCTGGATTGTCTAGCAGTCCAGGAGGCTGGAGTTGCTTTAATGGCCTGCTGGAGTCCGTGTCTGTTCCAGGAACCCTCAACGAAGCTGTGGGGATGGACACCCTCTGCGAACATCATCAGGGAATCTCAGAACAGACTCTGCTAAAATTGTCCAAAAGCAAGCCCTTCCCTCACCCCAGGGCCTGGTTCGTCTCCTTGGAGGGCAAACCTGCTGCTCAGGTACGTCACTCTGTCCTAGACCTTCGAAGAAGTCACCTCCTCACTGACAGCAATGACACCAGTCTGGACTCCGGGGTAGACCTGAATGAGCAGCAGTCAGGTCAGAAGTATGTGAGGAGCACGGCCCAGAGTCGACCTCTCTGCTCAGAAGATGTTGATCTAAGCAGCAGCGAGAGTGGAACAACCACAGCTTGCAGCCCAGAGGAGCCTGCCCTCAAAAACACCCTCCACAGCAGCAGCGGGACCATCTCCAACCTTCCAGAGGACAGACAGCGTGCAGACACGTCCAACACACGTGAGGGCAGTGAGTGTGCATCCAGCTCACGAGGACACAGAACTGGAAAGGCAAAGGAGAAGGGACGAGTGGACAAACTGAAAAACACTTGGCACCTAAGGGAGGAGAGGCCACTTTTGAAGCTCAACTAGAGACACGCTCAGAGGCTCAAGGTTGTTTAAGTTGAAACATACTCCGTTATCATTGATCAGCTGATTTTTCAACTTGGACAGTTCTGGTTGTTCGATTATGCCGAATAGTGAAGCATAAATTGAAGTGTCAATCCAATACTCAGTCCAATATCCAGTAATCCAGTATCCCTACCAAATTTTACTTTTATTCATTTTCTTCTGTTATTGTTCTTGTGTTGAAGGGATAAAGGGGGGCTTTGAAAATCCTCTTATCCTAGTGTTTTTCTTAAAATACAGGAATGTGATCTTAATAACTCTTTTTTTTTTCTGTAAGCAGGTACCTGAATCACATTTACCAAAAATAAATAAGTATGTTGCACACAGACCTGGTCCACTTAATCACACTTAATGTTTTAACAGCCTAAACTATAAATAAGTAGTTTCTTCAAAGCAATTTGAGTTAACAGTTTAATTTTCCTCTGTAGAACAGAAATCTTGGTTTTGAAGTATTTCCTGTGAACTAACATAAAAACTTTTACCTCCTAAGATTTACACACATCAACAAAACCTAAAAGAGATTAGATTTGATTTTTACTTTATTTACTTTATTGATCCCAGAGGGAAACTGTTGTGTTGCAGAAGTATACACAAATTTCATCAAGTAAAAAGGATATACAGAAATAAATTATATAATACACTGAGTTACAAAGTCTAATACAGTTAAATTTGAAAAAAAAAACAACAAAAGAAAGTATTTTAAAAAATGAGTGTTTGTCTTTATACCAATGTCTATACAAAGTTGTACAATTTGTACAATATAGATAGGCAATATAGTTAGAAATGATAGGAGTCCTGCTGTACTCAGGGGCAGGTTTGCATCATTCCCTGATTGTATACTGCATGTATCATCCTCACCATGATTATTTTTCCTACTTTATGTTCTGTTACATTGCATTGTTGTTGTCAAACACCAAATTAACATTTTCATGACTAAATAAAATGTCCTTTGTGACAATCAGTGTACAGCTGAGGTGCACTTATTTAAATAGGCTGAATTAGATTCATCTAATGCCTTTTGCCTGTTTGAGTGCTGCTCTGTAAAATTCACTAATTGAATGCAGGTGTCAGCCAGGCTTCTGGGAGCCTAATGAGAAGAATTAAAATGCCACTTTATAGTTAATGACTATATTTCTCTGTTTCACAGTCAGTGCACAGGGTCCATTTTAGTACATACCCAAACTGAACCAGCCGTGTTATTATTTATTGCTTTAATGTGTTGCCTAATTAGCCATAAAGTGTAGATTAAACAGGTTAAACATTCCTCTGTAGACCATGAATAGCACACCTATGATGTCTTTCCACCTGTATTCTGACTCATCACCCCCTCATGTGCTATGATTGGAATATGACCCATATTCTGACAAGCAGGGGTAACATAATATTGCAGCTGGGCTATGATTGAGTAGATGGAAGGAGTTGGAGGCGTACGGGTGGAAAAAAAACACTTTTGTTGCCACGTTGGCTCTAAAAATGTGACTAAATGTCTCCATCTTGTGGTTCCTGCTTCAAGTTGCAAAGTACAATAAAGTGCAAAATAAGGCACAAAATGGGCAAACATGAGAAACAACACAAAATGTTATAAATAATAGCATAAAAGAGAAGTAGAAGTGTAACATAGTAATGCAAACTCCTGCTGTCTGAGTTGAGGCCTGCATTATAGGAGAGTGATATCCAAATATTCTAGTAATGCAAATTGAAAGAGTCTGGTATGCAGCAATCACTGAAGTGCAGTCAGGAGTGAATTTCTCACATGACTGCTCATTTTGATGATGAAAACCTTTCATCTACCAGAAAGAAGGGGCTAAACTCAGTATGGATTGTGGTACGGGAGAGGAGTCTGAGGTGATTTTGAAGCCCTTAGTGTATTTAATGTAGACCTAGGGATTGCACTGATTGGGGATCCCATCAGATTACTTTTGAGGCCCTGCTCTCAATTTGTTCAGGTTTTCTCGTCTGAGAGTCTGTGTTGCTGATTGCTTTGGATGAGTGCAGAATAGAATTGCATCAGCAACTGCACTTCTTTGCTGTATGCTGAAGAAATGTGTTTGCTGGGCCTTCTTTATGATACACTATCCAAGAGTATCCAGACAGCCCTTCTAATTAGTGAATTCAGCTACTTTAAAATGTTTAATTGTGCCCACAACGTTTGTATAGAATGGCTCTGCCAATAGAATGGGGTGCACTATAATATAATAGCCGAACATGAACCTAAGTTCCCCATACTCAATGCCATGCGTCTTCCAGAGGGATATAAACCCCCCAGCATTGGGCTGTGGAGCTCTAAACTGCGTACACTGAAGTGATGGAGCTCCATCCAATACCTGGGATGAGTTGGAGTGCCGTTTGTGATCCAGAATCTATCATCCAACATCATGGGGGTCGCTGTTTCTGCTGGTAATGTGAAGAAATGGAAAGTGAAAGCAGCTGCGTGGTGCTCGAGAAGGCGGAAGACTGAAGACTGAAGTACGGTTCTGAATGAAACTTTCAATGAAAAGGTTTATACTCATAATTTACTTCACTTAGTAAAAGTTATTTTATCCAGGAGGTTCAGGCGAGTGATGACTGTGTTAGCTGGAGTACAGCGGCCAGGAGCTTTTCTCTGTCAGGCTGTTATACTGTTATACTGTTATGCTGTGCACTGTTACTCTACAGCGTCTGATTATTGTTCTGTATTGACGATTTTAGGGAGAATGGCTGAAAAGGATATTATCAGGTCTAAGAAACGGGATCTGATCAAGTGGCTAAGCTTGAATGATATGATCTTACATGAGGTCCAGTCAAAGCCGCTTATAACAGACGACGAATATGAAGAGCTGAAGCAATTCGAGGAACGCAAAGGAATACAGAAAATGACTGCAGAGCTTCTGGATAGGATTATGAAAAAGGGACCGTCGGTTTGCGGCCAGTTTTTGGACCTGTTGCGAGATAAAAACGTGAATGAGTCCTGCCCAGAACTCAGAGAGTGGATAACTACAGTGAACACCTCAGGTAGGTGAAAGCCTCAGTCAGAGTACTTCAGCATTTCATTACTGAATCAGTTAATCAAGCAGAAATACACTGTCAAAAAATAATACATCTGTCAAAAGTTTAGACACACCTAACTGAAGATACTGTTTTTCGTATCATAAAAGACATTCTGATACAATGGCTAATGCCTAAATGCACATGACATTTATTTCTAAGACACCAGTTAAGGTAAGGCAGAGGTATGAAATGTTTTATTTAAAAAAAAAACTAAACATTAAAAATACAGAGACTTGCTGGTGACATCGCATATAAATAACAATAATGCGTGGCCACGCTGTTTTAACGGTTGAGAACAAGATTGACTTAGTAGTAGGAATGAGATCATGCCTTATTAAGCTGTGGCCAATGATTGATTATCTAATTCCCATGCCTTACTAAGCCGTGGGCATGCATTAGGATCTCGTTCCCATGCCATGACCTATCTTGTGCCCACGCCTTACTATGTTTTGGCCACGTGTTATATGGGATGTGACCAGCAGGGCTTTGTATAAAAAAATGGCCCCCAACAAGTAGTTTTCAGCTACAACGAGATGTCAGCATATGACTGCCTTATTCAGCTCTGCTGGAAAAGCATCTCATCATAAAGCTGCTATGCCGAAAGTGCACACAGTTGCATTGAGACAAATGGGAGCTAATTTCTAAAACAGTGGTCACCAAACATCCTCCTGGAGATCTACTTTCCTGCTGAGTTTAGTACCAAACTCTGTCCCATCGCTTTACCTAATGCCATACAGCGTCAGATCCAGCTAATCAAGGACTTCTGAAGATATTAATTCGCTGGAGCAGGTGTGGCAGATTATAGTTCAAACTACAGTCCACAGGAAAGTAGATCTCCACGGTTGTAAAAGAATCTAAAACAGATAACAGTTTGACAGTTTTTGACAAAAAAAAAACCCATCAACAATGTACTTAAGTGAATGTAACTGGGGAAATGTAGAAAATATAGTGGTCAGGGTGCAGACACATGTACTAGTCCAGCAACACGGATTATAACAGAGTTATATGAACTCATGCAGTCTCTCTGTTCTTCTTTTCTACAGGTCCAAGTGCAGCTTCAGAGATTAGCAGCTCAAGCGCAGGTGTGTTTAAACTCTTAAACGTCAAGGTCTTTTGTGTATATGTAAAAATTGTGATTGCGATCATGATGATCTCCACAGGATAAGCTAATAGACATCTTATATAGCCTCATATTTAGGCTTTGTGAGGTGCACAATATAATACTTAATGTTCTACTGAGTTGACATACAATTTAAATCCATTCATCAGGCCTACTTAAGAGGGGGTGCAGATATTTACTGAATGTAAATCATGACTTGACTCTCTGTGTCAACAGGTAAAACCGTGCACATTCAGGCAGATCGTGGGAGTAATGTTTTTGCCCCTGTATTTAGTAACCTGAGCATGAATGACTTCAGTATGAATGTGAATATGAGTCCTAAATCCTAAAGAACTGATGGAAAACCATGCATTAACTATGGTAAATATAGTATTACAATTTTGTTGCACTCAGATTTTGCTCTAAATGTAGATAACCTGAGGGCACAGTTCAAACACTTAGTGAAATGTTTCACTCTCACCATTTAAAACCTTGCACTACAGGGGGCTCTATTACAAACTCGGGCAAACTTGTACAACAGCCTATAAAAAGCTCCAAGGGGCAAACTAGAACAGTATCAGCCCCAATAAATGCAGGCTGTTATCTGCATATGTGAGTTGCATGCAAATGAAATGCAGTAATTTCTTCATGTCTTTTTGTGTTTTGCAGCTAACAACCCAAACAGTACCTCTTATGCTGGAAACCAGACAATAGCAGGTAACCCCTGATCAAACATATAATTAGAGCTTCCATGAGAAAAGTCAATATCCCAACAGATTTTCTGTGCTACAATGTTGTTCATATCTTATTTTATAAGTCATTTAATGGTGCATTTCTCCTTCTTTTCCCTTCCTTTCTTCCTTACATAACACACAGATAACCAGGAGTTTCTGAGGAGTAACAGAAGTGCCTTAATTGATAAAGTAAAAAATGTTGTTGGAATTATTGACGGCCTCCAACTATCAGATGAAATGAGGGCAATCGTGCAAGCAGAGCCAACGGAACAGGCCAGAATGAGGAAAGTTCTGGAGTTTACAAACAGCACAAAAGCTGCTGAGCATCTGGTCAAGGCCTTGTGGAAGCATGCTGGTGATGTCATGGAGGACCTGACCAGAGCCTAAGAAGTCTAATGTGGCCTTTAAGACCTCTTTTACAACACATACAGTGGGTGCTGTGAATTCTAAAGCAACTAAACTAGAAATCATGTTAGATCATATACCTACATTCCAAAGTTTTTTGAGAAAAGTGCTTTACACGTTTTTTTAATATGACCCACAACTATTAATCCAGCTTGTTTTTTTTCATATAAATGGGATTGTTTAGTATTAATAGGGCATACTTTTTTATAACAATGGTATCATGCATGATTTTAGATTGTCTAACCATTATTTGTTGTATCTGTTAAAGTCTTCAGGGATACTGCAGAACAATTTTTGAGGATGTCTGTTATTCTTATATTTTACTTACCAAAACCTTTCAGGGATCTAAATGACATTAATTGTGCATGTTAACATTTGTTTGGCATTGTAGTTGTAGATTTTATATGAATTATCATTAACATTTTTATAAACATTTTTTCATATGCACCTTTGTCATATGTGTGTCTTGCATTGTTATTAATCAGGAATTGTGGGTGGGTATATAGGAGGGTCAATGACAAACACGCTTTTCAAAATGGAAACAAAGATTAAGGAATAAAATTGTGTGAATGCATTCTTGAGTTCATAAAAATCTGTTTTCTACATTTGTATCTATTTTTATGAAAATTTTTTAAACAAATGTGTTTTTAAAAATTGTTTATTTTAAAGATCATTGCTCTATCCTCTAGAGATGAATACCCATTCTCTACCAGCTTACATTTCTCTTGGTAAAAACTGATTTCATTAATGCTTCATAATATGAATTACACTGTGAACTGTAAGAAAGTTGACTCTGAAGTAAACCCTTTCAATGTAAGTTAATGTACCAAGATTTTTTTGTAAGTCATTCTGGGCCGCTTCTATTGGTCTGTTTGTCATGAAATTTTGAGACAATTTAAAGCAGCTGGGACTTCAAAGTATGGAGAAAAAAAAAAGATAGAAAGTTTTGTTCTGACAGTGACGATATATAAACTTAACTATTTAATCTTTACTGAATTATAAAAACATATGCATGCTTGAAATGTAGAATTAAAACTGATTTAATTTTGTATTATTTTCCACTACTCAAAGATTCTTCACCTCTACAGACTCACCATTGTCCAAATATTGAATAACAACAGCTGATATTGACTAATAGGATTTTAGAGCCCTGATTACTTTCATTATTTCAGATAACAAAACCATTTAGTAGTGTTTAAATAAGTTTCACTGAATTGTAACATCAGTCAGAATACAGAAACCACTTCACCATACACTCACTGGTCACTTTATTGGGTCTACCTTCCATGTATCTACACTCACTGTTCAGTGACTGTAATTGTAGAAGTACAATGTGCACTTACGGTAAGTTGAGCTGATAAAATGGACAATGAATATAGATAAGGTAGTTGCACTTGAATCAGCTGCATGTCATTGCCGCATCCAGGCTCTAGTACTGTGGACTATAACGCGCTAAGGTGTTGTGACCACTCAACTCCTTAGTGCGATCTTCATGTGATCTCAAAGGAAAATGTTTGGATGCCTTTTGTTGACTCACATTTTCTACAAGGCTTCATTAAAACCTGTTGTTACCTGCATGTCAAATGATGCTGCATACTTTGCACTGCCTGCCTTAAAGATAAGCAATTGCTTTCAACATGAAATTGTTCATTTCATTTTCTATTATTGAAGAACCTATACAAACACAGGAAGGGAGCGAGAGGTAATGTTTGTCATAAGGCCCACCTAACAAAAAACATCATGACACTATAGAGGCTTGCTTGTGTCCATATGATGTCATAAGTTTGCTTTGTCTTCATCTAGATGAGAAACTCACCTTCTGGTGGAATTTCACTAACAAAACTATGACATGCAGGGAAAAACTGCTGGCATGATCATGAATCAGGGCAATAAGAATGCATAGTTTTTATACTTAAACCACTTCCACTCAAACAAGGAGCAACCATAGACGTTTGGTGTGGGCTGAGCAGCCTCTGGCCTCCTCTTGTGGTCATGAAACAAAACAACACTGAACATAACTCAAAGTTAACTTTTTTGCAAAACAGCTTCACCGACAGAACACGGCAGTATTAATCACTTTGAGGGAAAAGAGAAAAAAAATAATAATAATAATTCCCCAAACACTCCACAACAAAGCAGATTTTTCTGAAATGCCATGCATATTTATTTAAGCAATATAAACTAGCTCACAGGCATTGAAACTGAACATTAGTACAGTCATAAGAAACATCATTCATGTGTGTTTTGCTCTACATTGGGCTACAAAATGACTCCTACATGCACCAACAAAAGTAGACAGATGTCTAAGCACAAGGATGGGCATAAGGTCTATGCCGAACAAGCATTCTGCTGCACAACCGCAAGGTTAAGCAGAGATATCTACAAGCTTAGACAGATGTCATTTAATGACAAGTTAAATATTTTTAAAGGGGACTTTGTGTCAGGTCCTTGCTGTGCATCATTCAACACAGCTACCCACATCCTCAATGGCAGACATTTTGGCTCAACACTTGCGGGGCTGCTGAATGAAGAAGGTGCGCTGAATGTGCATCTTCTCCACACTGGGCCGGACCTTGCCGTGCCGCACTGAAACTGGAGTCTCAGGGAAATCATGGCCCAACTGCAGGAAAAACACATGGTGAAGAAATACATAATTAGACAAGTTATTTGGTGGTTTACAGATACCAAATATCAAGTTTGGTTTTATGGAAGACTCATTGTGCTAAACAGCCAGGTGCCTCTTTCACTGTAGCACTTTGTTGGATTAATGTGATTAATGGATAACTGATGTTTTAGTTTAAAAATAAAAAAAAAAAAAAGTTTGTTTTATCCCTTAAAGAGTAAATACATGTTATTTATATGGCAATTTTGGCCAAAAGACAGTACGAAGCAGTAGCATGTTTCCAGTGTTCATTCAGCCAATTTAGCTATAAAGATGTTGGAAAGGATCATAAAAATCCATGATCCTCACTGATTTCTTTTTTAAAGAAATCATATATAAACAAGCACCTAGTAAAGCCTCATCAAACTGCCTTTTAATATATTCTCACATTATAGTCATTTTATCCCCACATCAAATAACAATGCCTAAAGAACTTCAGCCAGAAGCACCTTTATAAAAAAAGAAAATAATAATAAAAAAATAAAAAAATTTACTAGTTTCCAATGAAAATAATTCTTCTTGATAGGAGTGTTTTAATGCATATCCAATGTCTATTATAACTCTTATTACATGGTTCAGCTGTCGGACGCAAAGACACAAACCTTTTCCAGTGGGCCTGCCATCAGAATACCAATTTGTTGCATCCGGGAAGAGACAGTCAAGGACCTGCGAGAAAAAAACAACTCCTTTTAGGGTGAAGGAAAACATACATTGTTTTCACACATCACTAATCCTGCATGCACTGAGGATTTCATGCAAATCAATCAGTATTTCACCCTGTGCCATTTCTGTTCTTACTAGCTCTGTGTAGCTAAACAGTACCAGTGAGTGTTAAGTGTCAGCAGTAACAGCAGCACACTGCAGCAACATTTCCTGCTTTCTGCTGCAGATCTTGAAAGAACCTTGTAAGAACGTTGTGGTTGTAGCTTAAACGTATGCACAGAAGACAAAGGAGATGTAAAACAAGTGTACCTTGGTTTCTCTGGTCTCTTGCTTTCTTTTTCTGGGGTTCCATTGTCCTCATTACTTTTCTTTACCACTCGTTTTCCTCCTGCCTTCACTGCATAAAATTAGGAGGAGAAAAAAAATATATAACAAAAAATATAATCTACCATAAATGCACTGTAAGGCCTGTTTAGCACATCCCCAACTTTGATAACACTGCATTAAAACAAAGTGTGGCAAGCTTAACTGAATTAACCTTCCATGACCAATTCAGCTAAATCTTTCAGTTTCCCATGACCATCTTTTAAAAAGGCAAAAGTGGCAGGATTTAGATCTTAGGTCTGACAGGTTTTACTCTACCACTTTTCTGGTAGACCAGCAATACCAGGTACACCTCATTGACATTAGACGCGGTCATATATGGAATACGGCAAAAACAGAACATTATGATAAGCTGAAGACATTCCTGATACATAAATAAAAAAAATAAATAAAAAAAATAAATAAATAAATATTAAAACCCACAACCTTTGCATACTGCGCTGCCCCAAATCCTAATAACCAGGCCAAGTTGTGCTCTCTCGTAATGAAACATGCAGATCAGAGCTCTTTAAATCTGTACTGTTCATAATTAAGTTAATAATTTATGACAATAACAATTGTCATTGTGTAAAATGTCTCAAATAAATTGGCCCTCAACAATAAACACACAACCCAGACAGTTCTGTAATATGCTTAACTGCTTGGGATGTTATCAAGAATCTACACTTTTTTTTTTAATTAATCCAATCTGCATGGTTAAACTCATTTGTGGTATGCCGATCCCCACCAGGCCAGTGTACACAGAGCAGCCAGTGTTATTGGAACCAGCTGGGTGACTTGCCTGCCTAAAGACCCTGGGGCAGAGAGAGCACTGGGATCGGCACAACAGCATTGGCCAAATTTTAAGGAAAGTAACATAGGAGCTGCTTGGTTGCAAAACCAGCCTGTTAAGGCCAAGAACCTAGAGACTACAGAGAGAGGTGACACATGCGCAACGTGCTGAAGCAATGCAGTTGTAAAAGATGCAGCAGCACTTGGCAGAAGACATCTTAGAAAGGCTCTGTATCCACACTTAATGACACTGTTTAATAATGTTAGCTCTTGAGTTTGCTCTAGTCTCCTAAAGAGAGCATCAACAGCACCAACAAGCAAGAATTATGCAATCATTATGCAACAGTGACATCCTGTGACCCTGAATACATGAAATTACAATGATCCAATTATCCACTTGTCTGGATTCACTCAGTGACGTTACTCACTAGTTTTCAGCGCCAGTACTGAAATACTGGGCTCATTTACAGCATCAGCAAACGACTCATTAGGCTACATGAAGACCCCCCGTGACGTGCAGGGCAATGATGAGTTATTTGAAGTGTTTAAACAACACCTGGAAAGCTGAAGTGAACTTATCTTCAACTTCTTATTCGAATTCTCCCGTTCCACCTTAAATAGCCCATAAGTGACTGCTGCAGAATTTAAGGTACACCGGGAGAATTCGAACAAGGAAAATTACAATGTTCGCCGGATTCTTGTTCGAATTCTGCCGTTCCACCTTAAATGGTCCTGCAGTTACTGCTGCACCATTTAAAGAGGAGCAATTACTGGGGCACCATTTAAGGTGGAACGGGAGAATTCGAACAAAAAGCCAGCAAACAGGAAAACAACTTCAGCCTCGTATATTCATTTTTCATCTGCCTCCACATGTGAGGCGACCTGAACGGCTACTTCTCAGTTCTCGACGTTGCTTCTCACCGAGCAAAGTGAAAGTCAGATAACAGAAAGCAGGTCAGATTAAAAAGTTAATTCGCCCTGAACTTGGTTTTCCTGTGTAGTTGTGACTCGTTCGAACACCAAAACTAAGCCTGCAAGCGACTGAAATGAAGGGAAAAACACACAAAAACATCTCCAAAGACGAACTAACGATTTTCTCAACTCCACACAGCGTGTTCAGCGGATAAAAACAGAAACAGAGCCCTTATCAGTCTAAAAGGGCTCTGTAGTTAACAGCCGTCCTCACTTCAATGCACGCAGCGACAATCACCACCACCAAGAGAACTCAACAACAACTCTAAACGACCAGGCGACCAAAAGAGACGATTAGAACGAAATATCAGACCTGCAGGAGGATGACCAGCCTTCAGGGTTAGAGTATCTTTCATTCCTGCTTTGGAGAGTTGCACCATATCGAGCTTTGTGTACTTCAGCCGTAGCCCTCGCCCCCTCGCCCCCCTCTGCACCTCTTTATACTCACCGACCACACGGGCTGAGCGGAGCGCAGGTCCGGAAGTTCAGAGCGTTTAGTGAACTCCTTTGAGTCTGCAATTAAACTCTGATACACACCGATAAGTTTTCTGTGCAGAATTTGACTCAGCACTGCAAGTTAAATCGGGTAACAATACAAGAAACAGCGAACTGTGAGTTTACACGGTAAAGCACCTCTGTACATGCAGACATGCAGCATTGGGTCTCTAAATGCAGGGATTTGATACTTGGGCTTTTTATTTTAAAAACGGGGTGAACCATCTTATTTATGATATATGTGATATTACAAAAGTTTGTTTTGTTGATTTTGTTAGTGAAAATAAGCTAATACATGGTCTAGAACACACTTCTGCCCACTTTAATAACTGATTATTTTCTGAATTTGAGCATATTGGGGGAAAATAAGTAATAAATTGTGGCATGTATATATTTTATTTTTTGTATATATGTAGAGGATGGATGTTTTTACATATATGTGGGCTGAAGGCCCCAAACAGACAAAACAGGATACAAACAAAGAAGGTAAGTAGTTTTTTTTTTATTATTATGTTTTTAAAAACTTATTTTTTAACATTACACAGTAGTTTTGTAGTGATGGTACTAAAATATTTCAAAATAGGAGGAAAATTATATATACACCAACCGGTCACTTCAAGCACACCTCCTTGTATCTACACTCGTTGTCCATTTTATCAGCTACACTAACAATATATGTGCACTTTGTAGCTCTACAATTACAGACTGTAGTCCATCTGTTTCTCTGCATACTTTGTTAGCCCTCTTTTACCCTGTTAATCGATGGTCAGGACCCCCACCGAGCAGGTATTATTTGGTGGTGGATCATTCTCAGCACTGCAGTAACACTGATGTGGTGGTGGTGTGCTAGTGTGTGTTGTGCTGGTCTGAGTGGATCTGACACAGCAGTGTTGCTGTGGGTTTTAAACACCTCAGTGTCACTGCTGGACTGAGAATTGTCCACCAATCAAAAATGTCCAGCCAACAGCATCCTGTGACCACTGATGAAGGACTAAAGGATGACTAACACAGCTACTGTCTCTGACTTTACATCTACAAAGTGGACCAATGAAGTAAGAGTGTGTAATACAGTGGACAATGACTGGACACAGTGTGTCAGTCATTGTCCACTGTAGGCGGCCTGTTAGTGTGTGTTACTACAGTGGACCAGCACAACACACACTAACACACCGCCACCATGTCAGTGTCTGTGCAGTGCTGAGAATGATCCACCAGTCAAACAATACCTCCTCTGTGGTGGTCCTATAAGGGTAAACGAGGGCTAACAAAGTACGCAGAGAAACAGATGGACTACAGTCTGTAATTGTAGAACTACAAAGTGCACCTATGTGGTAAGTGGAGCTGATAAAATGGTTAAGAATATAGATATAAAGAGTTGTAGTTAGTGTAGTAAAAATATGTTCTCTCATTGGTTCTCTCCTTTGGTGGGCCAAATCAGATGTCCTCACGGGCCAACTTTGGCCTGTGGGCCACACTTTGGGCAGAACTGAGATAAAAGAGATTTCAATAAGGTCTAATTCTACTAAAAATCTGAATTCTACTCAAAGTTTTCTTGTGTATAAAGTTTCACCACATAGAACCTTTTATATATGTAATTTCAATCTATGATTTTCATTCCTACTACAAAAAAGTTAAAAAATAAGAAAAAGTTCCACGTGGTTAACTTTTTAACTAAGAGAAATAAGTAGCATCTGAATTTACTGCAGGGGTATTAAATCCATCCTCATGCTGTTGTAGTCGAGGCACCTGCAGCAACAGCCTACACAAAAACACCCACAGTAAGATCAGCCCACTGTGCAGATCACGCACTGCTGCTTTTGTGTGGTTTTTTTGATGCTGGTGTTTTGCTCTCACTTATTTGTCTGAACATAAAACTCTCGAGGCAGTGTTTGTGTTGCTGTCAGTCAGTTTAGCTGCATTGCTTCACGGGTGGAGAGAATGATTTAGCATACTGACACTTCTAACACTCAACCTGAAGAGTAATTACACCCTGCATGTGTGTGTGTGTGTGTGTGTGTGTGTGTGTGAGTGAGAGTGTTCATTTATTAGTATAAATATTAATGAGTGCTCTTCCTCTAGGCACCAAGAGAAGTCATTCTTTCTATAGGAGGGACATGTCTGGGCAAAACTAGTGAACCAGAGCAGAAGCACCTGTCTCTGTTCAGCCGTCAGCAGCTGTGCACTGTGCTTCAAAGCATTTTCAAAACAGCCATATTTACAGTACCGACTACTGAGACTTTTTCTCAGTATTTAAATTGAACTTCAAGAGATTTTGGCCTAAATGTGACGTGTGTTGATTTGGGTACTGCTAAATAATATAGTTTAACTTTCAAAGTGGTGTTATTTGGACATTTGCCTGCTTTAGCTTTGTAACCTCAACATTTGTGACACACTGTCACATCATTTATATTGAGCAGAATGTAACAAGCAGCTTTGACTGAGCTACGTCTCATTCCTCTTTAGATCAGGGGTGTCCAATCTTTTTGTCTTAGGGGGGTAAAGTGCAGTGTTTGCGGTGGCTAAGGGCCTAAAAGACAATAAAAATGTAAATAAAGAAGGTAGGTAGGTTTAAAATAAGGTTTTTAAAAAGGTACATCTCTGTGCAAAAGTCAGAAATTATGCTTCATTTATTCGTCTTCCAGTCAAAACAGCCATTAAGTGCAAGTTATTCATTTTTCATCGTCACAAAAAAGTATAAACAATATTGTTATCAGAAATTTACACAGAAGCCTCAACAACTAAATATAGTTTCAGATTTTTAAGTATTTAGCGTTTGAAAGTCTTTGCCTTTATTACAGCTTTCATTCTTTTGTGGGGAACTTGCTTTTAGTGTTTCAAAGAAATCTTTAGGTCTATTATTCCACACCTCCAAAGTTTAGTTTTAGAAGTTTGTTGCATTCTGAGATCACCAGCAGCTTCTTTGTTTCTTTTGTCTATTTTCTTTTCTCAGTAAGGTCTGCTTGACAGCTACACATCATTTCAGGCTCATAGTGTTGAGTTGTGGATTTTTTTTACATCTGAAGAAGGAATGAAGCTTGATTTTCTCCTCTCTCTCAGAGAAAAGCTTTTGTGGTGTTCCTACGTCTATATGTAAAAAGATTGAACTCAGTTTTGGAAAGAAAGTGCTCTTTTTAGTTAATTTACTTTGGTATTTTTCTTCTTATGCACGAGGGTTATCTTATGTTTAATAAATATCTCATGAATATCAGAAATATCTCCTGAAAAATGAACACATTGTATTTAACAGCCATTTTGACTGAAACATAAAAAATTAAGCCTATATATACATTAAATAAGCCTATATGTGTAAAACATGGAAACACCTGCTCATCCAGCGTTTCTTCTGAATTCAAGGGTATCAATAGAAGTTTATCCCCTTTGCTGCAGAAACAGCCTCTACTCTTCTGAGAAGCCTTTTACACTAAATGTCACAACGTTGCAGTGAGGATATGATTATGCTCCACATCAAGGGCATCAGTGAGGTCACTGATGTTGGATGATCAGTTATGGACACTCCACGTCATCCCAAAGGTAATGGATGGAGCTCCATCACTCCAGAGATTGCAGTGCCACTGCTTCACTGCTTAATGTTGGGGGGCTTTTTACCCCTTTGGCTGATGCTTGACATGTGTGGTGTCTCCAGAGCAATCTATTGGCAATGCTTTTCTATGGAGATTATAAAAGCTATGTGTGTGTGCAATTAAGTGGCTTGAAATAATTGAATTCACTAATTAGAAGGGCTGTCTAAATACTTTTGAAAATACAGTGTATCTTAAGGCCCAGCAGAGATGCTTTTCTCAGACAACTGAAGAAGTATATAATAAAGAAGCTGAATTTATTCAATTAGAAAAAAATGAATAAGGCTGGATACTTTCAGACACAAACAAACCCATGATTACCCTCATATCAGAGATGGTGGAACTGTATGGGATAGAAGATCATGTGGTCAGACCACTGCTCTTCCTTGTTGAGTTTGTGGGCTGATGTTTTCTTTGGCTGCTTTTCACACTGACAGAGGCTGGCGTGTGGAATGTCCCAGCAGGCCGTCTCTTTACTGTAAGCCTAGAGGAGAGGAGAAAAGAGGGAGAGAGAAAGAATGTTTACAAGCCTTTACTTTTGGACTGTCCACTTTGTACTGCACTCTCTTTCTGGGTCTTTCTGCTTTCTCTCTGATATCTGACTTGTTTATACTGAATATCACACTATATTTTATAGATTTGAAATGTTGTGTGATTGGCCTCTTAAGACAAAGCATCAGTTTTGAAATGTGTATCTGAAGTATTATATAACTGTGGTATGGAATGTAATGTGGTTATGAGAAATGAGATTCTCAGAAGAACACATAATAGTTTTCTTTGGGGGGTAAATCTGAGTTCATTCATGTTCTGCTGTCTTGATACAGCCAATCATATGATAAAAAGCAAGGAAGTGTTTTGTACAAAGCTAAAAAATGTTCAATTAAAAAAAGTACACAAGTAATATTCCTATTAAGTCACCAACTGTAAGATTATATGATTTTAAACTGATTTTAAATGCGTTACACACTTTATTAGAGGGAAAAGTAATCAAGTTACACTTAACACTTAATAGCACAGTTAGTTCCAACCTCACATTGTGATTGGCTGAGAGGCATCCTATAAGTGGCAATATCTCCCTATAATGGCACTCCAAACGCATCTCTTTAAGCATCAATCCGCCTTATTTGCCTGTAACACAATAACAAAAACCAGCTGTTAAACAAGTAACAAGACTGCTAAAAAAACAACACTATACTGACAGCAAGCGACCCAAATGAGTGACAAAACACTGTGACCAATGAAGCTTTTTACACAAGATGCAAGGTTTTGACTGATGCCCTGTTTCTGTTTTTGACACATCACATTGCATCGTGCTGATGTTCCACCTTAAACGCTGCAGTTAAAAGGAAATTCCACCAATTTCTCAAAATTTCTGAATAATTCTGTCATTGTGATGTAAACAAACTCCCTCAGAGTGATTTAACAGTTAATTCTAGAGAAACTTAAAGATGCAGATTTCTACAGTGGTGGTAATAGCAACCATAATAAAATATAGCCATTTTATTTACTGGCTCAAACCTCCAGTGAACCTACAAGAGTCTTCTGAGTTTTTATATGTAATGTTGATGATGATGATAAAATAGTCAGAAATCTGAAAAACATCTTTTGGGGGGACTATTTTATAACACCCTGCAAGTTTCCCTCTGTCATGAATGGATTAAAATTAATGGATTATAATATGTTTAGGCCAAACCTTTTTCACAAAACTATCATAAAACAATGTGTCAGACATCAGGCAGCATTTCATGTAAAAAATGTTTGTGCATGAGCTTTTAGGAGCACTAAACTCTTCAGAAGTCTGGTTCCAATCCCCACCACTGTGGACAATTCTGACACTGCAAGTTTCTCTATGACTTTGTTTACGTCCCAAACGTTTAATTATATAGAAATTTAAAAATTGGTTCCCCTTGAAGTGAGCCACCTTTCATCTGCCTCAAACTATTCCATGAGGTGGAGAAAAGTGAGCTGTATAAACATTTCTCAGATTTTATAAGGACATTGCTAGCCTGCTGGGAGTTTTGGTTAGTGGTACCGTGTTTTTAATCTTCTGTAAGTTACTAATATTGCTTTTAAATATGTTACACACATGTAAAGTGTGTAGCCAGTTTACCACACCAGTGGCAATGCGTTTTTATGTTTATTACCCCCAAAACTGGCAAAAAATGAAATGACGCATGCAAATGCCACACTACTAAGTACCCTCCCTTTACCTCTCATATTCTTGCTTACTTCACGGGCTCTGTGTGCACTAGTTGTATATTTGTGTAGTCTGTAGTACTGTCTCTGTACTGAACTCCCCCACAGCAGATGATGAGGGCGTATGATTGGGAGGTGTGTGACTGTGAAAGCCTACTCTCTGTTTCTGATCTTCTCCAGCATTCCTTTCTTACTTCCTTTGCATTTTCTTTATTTCTCTCAAATACTTTCATTTCCTCTTTCCTTTAAACTCATTTTCATTCATGCCTGTCCTCCTACTCCTTCTCCTTCAATTTCCCTCTTCTCTCTCTCTGTCCACCCTTTCCCTTTATCTCTTCTCCTCTCTCTTTTTCTTCTCTCAAAATTAGAGTAAGAGCTTTCCATGGCTTTGGTTTTGTCATTGTTAAACATAATTCTTCCAGGTAATCCACTGGAATTAATCAGGCTGTTTTTGTTAATGTGCTTAATTGATAAATTATTATTTTTATTTTTATCAGTATAGTCCAGAAAAATACAGTCCAATTGCTCTAAATCAGTGGTCACCAGCCCACAGTTAGGTCCAACCTTGCATTGAGGTATTCTGTAAGTGGCATTTTCTCCCTATAATGGCACTCCGGCACATCTCTTTAAGTATCAATCCGCCTTATTTGCCTGTAACACAACAAAAACCGGCTGTTAAACAAGTAACAAGCTGCTAAAACCCTTTCCTGCAGAGTTTAATGCCAACCTGAATGGAACTTGTCCCTCCCCCTTTACCTTCCACTAATGCACCTGATCCAGTCAAACAAGGACGGTTGTATCAGACTGTACACCCTGCAGAAAGGATCTCCAGGGCCAGGGTAGGTGACCACTACTCTAGATGGCTTAAAACAGCATTAACACATGTTCTCCAGCAGGTGGAGCTGTAGGCGTGATGATCCGGGTCGCGGCGCATTGTGCTAAACTCCTTGGTAACGAGAAACGCCAAACATGCGCCGTATGCCGACACTGAGCCAGTTCGAGGAGAGAGTAACTTTTGGCCTGTAGTTTTAATTACATTGTGTCTTGCAAACATCATAAAAAGATTTGACTGAGTACTTTCATTTCAGTAATACGTAAATACTTCGCTTTAGAGGGACGTTGATGGCTGGAAAGAAGAAAGAAGTCAGTTTACAGGTAAAAGAACTTGACTCTAGCTAGTGCTTCTCTCAGAGCTGGTCACTGTTCGCCTCGAGGTTCAGCTGCTGTGTAGGAAAAAACATACTAATGCATAAAGCTAGAATATGTCAGTATACCGTGTTTAGACACGCTGCACTCCGGAGTTTGAGTTTAAAAGTGCAGGAGAAACCGTTATCTAGGGTAACTAGGTTAAGCTAGCTAGCTTACCGTGTAGCATCAGATAAGGTTTATTTCTTTATTTCTGTCTTTATTGTTGTGGGACAGCGTGGAGACTGAAATGGTCCACTGAGTTAAACCTGTAGGCGTGTCTGCCAGTCTTTTTCTCTGAATGAACATCTGGACCAAACCCATGCTCTCCAATAAAAGGATCCCAAGCGCCTGAGACCAAAGGGAACACTACTACAGGACTCCACTGTAGTTTACGGAGCCCCCCAAAGGACATGGGGGGAAAAATGACATGGGTTTTTGTATAGTGGGTTAAAAAAAACCTCCTACCTGTGGAATAACATGAGTTTTAATTTATTATCTTGAGATAATTATCTCAGGATAATTGTCTCGGGTCAAAAAAATTGTCAGGTCATTTCACAGACTTTTCACCTTTAAAAAAAGTCAATTTTTCCCCCATGTCTTTTTGGGGGCCTGTATAGTATAAGAATCCATTTTAGAGAAAAGGGATTTATTACATAAAACAATGAGGACCTACCTAATATTATAACATTACATTTATGTTGGTAAATATAAGGTAATGTTACATTACTTTACAATCATGTATGTCTAACTGAAAAACTACTGAAAAGTCAGTAGTAAGGATGCTTTATGATACCAGAATGATAAAAATTGCCTAGAAACATTGGCAGCGAACAGATGTAATTATGTTTAGGAGAGGCACTTTTATTTTATACAATATTATATTTTCCTGTATATGTAACCGCACAGAAGTATATTTTCTTGTTTGTGTAACTGTACAGAAATAAATGTTATATTTCTCCATCATAGTAAATGCTAATGTATATGTAGAAGTGGGCCAAACAGCAAAATTGTAATATCACGATACTTAAGTATTTTTTCCGACATAAGTTGGAACAAACAAAGTAGAGCCACATTTAGAAAATACCATCAAACACAATGAAATCCAATGATTTGAATTCAACATTCACATACTATGCTGTGCTGGTGGTAGAGAAGTGTTTTTCAGGTACTGACAACATCCACAATGTACTAAGAAAAGTGTATTGTGTTATATTGTCATGTAATTTACTACAATGACGATAAATACTGTCATATCGCCCAGCTCTGTGTGTATCAGCTTTGGCAGAGATGGTCATATGCAAAAGTTTGGACATTCTGGTCAAGTTACAAGTTTAAAGCAGAAGCCGTGCAGAACTCCAGCCCAAGCTCTTAGAGCGCTGTCCCCTCTGCCATACAGTCTCGTCTCATAATTCTTCACAACCGTTTGACAAAGACATGGTCCAAACTCACAAAATATTGGATATTGGCATCTGTCCACAGTCCCTGTATCTGTGCATCCCCAGTCAATACTTTCCATGCTATTAGAAGCTCATAATAGTGCATAGTCTCAGTCTGTTTGGGTTAACCTTATTTTCACAGTCTTGAAAGCTTAATTTTTTATATTTCAGGTGTCCATCAGTCATGACGAGCAATGGGGGGAGATGCTGGCATCAAAAGGGTTGACAGGTGAGAGTTGGAGAATGACAGGAGAGGAAGAGTTCTTTAACCATGTGATAGATAGGAGATAGAAATCCTTCTGCTTGTTCTCTTGTGAAGTGTCTGTGTGCTGTGTGTCTTTGGCAGTGGTGGATGTGTACCAGCAGTGGTGTGGACCCTGCCGTGCAGTCCTCAGCCTATTCAGAAAAATCAAAAACGAGCTAGGGGACGACCTGTTACACTTCGCCATAGTAAGCTAGTAAACAGATTTCATGTAGAATGGTTGTTGAATGTACATGTACAGCACTGCACTACTATTATTCATGAATTGGGTGGATTTTTGCTCAGTTTATACTCAATTTCTGAATTAAAGGACCACTCCAGTGTTTTCCAGTCTGATCTTTATCTGCCACATCTGTACTGTATGGTTGATTAGACAGTTGCCCATTGACTTTATTATTATGCCGATCTTCACAGTAACTGATTCTTTAGTACTTTTGCTCTGAACTGCTTTTTGAATTCTGCCCATTTATAATATTTGTTTTTATGTTTTAAACTCCGAAGGCAGAGGCTGACAGTATTGATGCATTGGAGAAATACAGAGGAAAGTGTGAGCCCACCTTCCTGTTCTTTGCTGTAAGCCCCTGAAGAGATCATTTTTCCTCTTTGTGCATTTAGACACATATAAATCACTGATAAAATGAAATATAAAGAACAATAATCAACTTAAAGATTATTACACATGACAAAAAACTGAACATCTGATGAGATTATAGTGCAGTGCCTTGCAAAAATATTCAGCCCCCTTTAAAGTCGTAAGATTTGTCTGGATTACAGATGACTGATATTTTGTGTTGCCATATTTTATGTTAACAGACTGACCCTCACAATTTGTAATTGTAATTGATTTAACATGATATTGGTTTGGTGGAAGAATATATATCCTGTATTGCTATCTGAAAATTGCTGTTTGCAAAAGTATTCATCCCCTGTGCTGTGTAAGTTCCACATTTACACAGATGAAAGATACTGCCCTAACAAGGACACGGTTGTCTTATGATTGGCCTCTACCTGTGAATCAAGTTCACCTTTTCTGGCTAAATGACCCCGTTAATTCAAGCACCATTGGTCAGACTTTGAATCTGAAGGAAAACTGTGAAAATGAAGACCAAAGAGCAATCTAAGAAAATTAGAGATAAAGTTATGGGCATGCACAAGATAAGAAAAGGCTACAAAATAATATCCAAGTGTCTGGACATCTCAGAGAGCTCTGTTGGATCATTTGTGAGGAAATGGAAGCTGCACAGCCACCTGTGCACAGATCAAGAAGGGTGCCTGTGAGGAAAGCCACAGAGAGTCCAACAGTCACTTTGAGAGAGCTACAGTTGCTACAGAGTTCAGTGACTGAGGCTGGAGTGAAGGTGCACCAATCAGCGATATAAAGACATATATACAACTGACCTGTATGAGAGGGTGGCTACAAAGAAGCGATTACTGAAGAAAAACATATTAAAGCTTGTAGAGTTTGCTAGGAAGCATCAGAGTGACCAAACTAAAATATGGTAAAAGGTTTTGTGATCAGATGAGACCACATGTTTGGTGCAAACTTAACAGTCCCCATTCCTGAATAACCACCATCCCAACAGTGAGGTATGGGGGTGACAGTTTGTTGTAGGGGTGCTTTTCTTTAGTAGAGACTGGGCATCTTGTTAAAACTGAAGGATGGATGTATGATGCAAACTACAGGGAAATACAGCAAGACAGCCGCTTTGTAGAAACGTCACCTTTCAGCAGTACAGTGAACCCAAGCACAAGGCCTAAGCAACACAGAAATGGTTGAACATCAAAAATGTGACTGTCCTATGATGACCAAGTCCAAGTCTAGATTTCAATCCAATCCTGTTTAAAAATCGCAGACCTCAAGTATCATCCAACCAACCTGAACAACCCGCATCAAATCTGCCAGGAAATATGAGTGAATATCTCTCAAACAGTGTGCAAAGCGTTAGAAACTACAGGCTTAAAGCTGTTATTGTAGCAAAAAGTGGTTCTGGTCAGTCTGAAGAGGTTGAATACTTATGCAAGCAGAATTTTTTTTAAATCTGCTGACAAATAATCAATTTTGACTTTGAATATTTACTTTAAGAGCATATTGGTTGTGTAAGTGTCATTTGTAATCCAGAAGCATCCAGTGATTTTTTAAGGATTTTGAATGCTTTTGCAAGGCACTGTAATTTATGACTGTGCTGCAAGTGACGAGTGAAAGCTGCTTTTATATGTTGTAATGTTTGTTTTTGTTTGTGTTGCTCATCTCCATGCAGGGTGGGGAGCTGGTGGCTGTGCTGCGGGGGGCTAACGCTCCTCTCCTGCAGAGAATAATTGTGGAGGAGTTGGCCAAAGAGAAACGGGTGCTGGAGCAGGGCATCGAGCGCATTGTGGTGAGCTAAATTCCACCACAAAAATTGCAAACTCAAAACAGTCCTCAGTAATCCTGAGTTTCAAAATGTGTTGCATAATGTAGGGCTAGTTTCACTGACATACATTAAGCTAGTCTAGACTAAACTGCAATGTAAATAGCATCTCATCAATAAAAATCCCTTTTAGTTTATGCTTAGTCGTAATCTGGGTCTGAGAAACAACCCTGTAATATTTTACTAGGCAAGTTTCTACATTCTCCCTCAAAAAGTCTGAATTTCCATGGCCTTTCCTTATTAAATAAATCGTTCTGAACTTTCTTGCTCTGAACATCTGCTATACATTGTCACAGGTAAAAGATGAGGGATTGGTTGAAGACGAACAGGAAGAGGATGCTGTGGCCCATCAAAATGATGAGGACATTCTTGGTATTCACACCTAATTTAATTCACACTTATTTATAGTACAGTGCCAACATACAGTGATGATCACTACTTTACATTTCCTCCTGTAGTGCCTGTTAACAGGTCTTTCACAGTGGCAATCATTAAGCCAGATGCTGTGGCACATGGAAAGACCAATGAAATCATTATGAAGGTAAACCCACATATAATATATACAAAAGACATGTTCTAATACTTGTCACAGACACATACAGTACTGTGCAAAAGTCAGAGACCACCCTTCATTTATTTAATCTCTAGTGAAAATGCCTGTTAGGTACAAGTTGTTCATTTTTCAAGATATGGTTTTGAGAAGATTAGATATAAGGTAATCTGCTTGTATAAGGACGGAGAAATTCAAAGGAAAATGAGTGAAATTACAGGAGTTTCATAACTGAAGTTCAAAAATGTATTTCAAGTTATAGAGACAACGGGACTCCTAACAACCATGCAAGATGTGGTCGACCACCAAAACTTTCACCATCAGATAAACAGTCCTTAAAGCTTTCATATTCAAGAAATAAGGGAAAAGCAAGCTCCACATTTGCTTCGGATCTGGAATTTTCTCTCCATCCTTCCACTGAGAGAAGACAACTCAACACTATGGGTCTGAAAGTCTGTGTAGCTGACAAGAAACTGTTGCTTGGAAAAGGAAGTAAACAAAAAAGGAAGCTGTTTATTGTTTCAGAACAATGAACTGACCACCCCAGAGTCCAGACCTCAACAACACGGAATGTGTTTGGAATTAATCCAACCAATTTCTGACAGAACTTTGGAGGTGTGGAAAAATATCCCTGCAGATTTCTTTGAAAAACTGAAAGCAAGTCTTCTGAAAAGAATGAAAGCTATAATAAAGACAAAGAACACACTAAATACTAAAAAGGTTTATATAATATTTAGTTGTTGAGGCTTCTGTGTAAACAAGCCCATAACAGAACTTTAACAGGCTTCTGTTAAATACATGTTTTTTGCTTTTGTTGTTGATGCTGAAAATGAGCTTGTACTTAATGGTCATTTTGACTGGACACTAAATAAATGAAGGGTGGTCTCTGTCTTTGGCACAGCACTGTAGAAGGTTTTTTGCTGCTGTAATGCTACACTTACAGTATAACATATAATCAACAATATGTTTTGATATCATATTGTGATTCATGTGCTTAGCTGTCTAATCAAGCTGTAAACACAGTGGTTATTTTTTCTCTCTCAGATTCAGGATGCAGGCTTTGAGATTCTGGCCCATGAAGAGCGAACTCTCAGTGAGTCAGAAGCTCAGGAGTTTTACCACCACAAAGCAGCAGAGGTACTGTCATCTTGCCTATGTACTGCAGTATGGCAATATTGATTACATTAATATTCAAGTAATGAGTAGGCAGAGTTCTGAAAAAAGACTTATAAAATAATAAAAATGTTTTTAAGAGAACAACTTGAGACAACTTAAGAGAACAATAGCAAAACCATGAATAGTCTTTCAAAGATTCCAAAAGTAATTTGTTGGAAAAAGATGGGAAGACTTTTATGATTTCACTGGGTTGAGTTTGATTATGTTATTGCCTATATTAAGTAAATAAACAGATTACCATACATATACATTCTTTTGTTGTTGCTTTTACGGAGTTGACAGTCATTTTTATTTCATGATAGCTCAGAACTTTACTGTAATATCACTGCGCTTACATTTACAATATTGCTTACTTAGTTACTGGAGACTTAATCCAGTTTCTATAGCTTGCACACACAATTGGAAAACTCAAGCTCTGTCCCTGGAGTGTCCACTGGTCTCTTGTTGCTGTAGAAGAAGCAAAAATGTAATAAAAATGTAAATTCTGCATTATTATTATTCAGATTTGCAACTAGTCACGATTCAAGAAGGTACTTTTTGTTTGTTTGTATGTTTGAAATATTTTACTTTAGTCGAGATATACTGTTTAGGGGCCCAGTTATCGGTTTATCACCCTCTGTGTAAAGCACATATAACTTTTCTGGATCAGTGCTTTGATGGTATAGGAATTATAGACTTCAGTTCCTGAAGGTGCCACACACTTCTTGCAGCCTGGAGCGGACAGCCTTGGCAGTTACACCAAAAGAATGCTACTCTTTGAAATGCAGCACAGCCAAATTCATTCACTGCCTCTGCTTTCTGCTCTTTGTGGATGCAGTCTGTGTGGAAGCCTAAGAATAGAGCTGCTGACTTTGTGCATGCCCTCTTGCTTTTGCTTATTCTGCAGAATCACATGAAACAGAGCCTCAGGTTGTCTTTACCGTAGGTGTGGAGTGTGTTTACCTCTCACCTTTTTTCTGTTTGTTGGTGTGTGGGTGTGTATGTATATTCTCAGCCATACTTTCAGGAGCTGGTCCAATTCATGTCCAGTGGTCCCTCCCATGTTCTGGTCATTTCTAGGCCTGAGGGTTGTGATGATGTCATTCCGGCCTGGCAGGAATTTCTAGGCCCGACGGATGTAGAGGAGGCCAAGAGAGAGCATCCAGAAAGGTGAAGTACCTTACAGCATTGACCCTTTGAATGGCTAAGGCCCGCCAGTAGGTCCAGACTCCCATTCCTCACACCTATAACTTAAGAATAACTGCAAGCATTTTTTTCCATATAATTTTTAAATAATACAGCTTAGGATTTTGAAAGGAAATGGCACCAAATTTTTAAACATTTGTACATAATTTAAAGTTAAGATGTAAAGTCAGAGTGGTTTGACATGAAACGTTCTGTTCTAGAGCAACTTACGGACTTGGTTACAGACTCCACACATGCAGAGAGATAAGAGAGAGAAACAGAAATACGTACACAGTTATGTAATCGCCTAGGCTGGGTACCATACCAGTAGTTTTTTTCCTGTTGGAGCACCTATTACTTACAGCCTTGGTGTCAGTAATCAAACTTCTCCTAAAATAAACAAAATGAATTTCCAGGGCACTCCTCCAAAAATTAAAACGACTTTGTTGTATCATGACTGTGAATAAAAAAGTGTACATGCCACAACACATTTTGCTGTAGGCTAATAAACTCTGTACTGGTGTTAACTTTGCACAAACCAGCAACGGTCACCTAAGCACATTATTTAAAGCAATTTATGCTTGTAATGTCAATGTCTGAGACACTGTTTAAGATTTGGCCTAAAATATGTTATTTAAATTCGTCAATGGTGGAGAGCTACATGCATGGCTTTGTAAGGCAAAATAATTTATTTTTCAGATTTACCACTATTTTACCATTATCAACATTTACAAATTCAATAGACACATGAAGGTTCACTGGTAGTTTCTCTATAATTCACCACATCACAATAAACCACTCTGAATGCTTCTGTTTACATCCTAACTATTGAATTGTGTATGAATTTAGAAAAAAAAAATTCTGTGGAATTCCTCTTTTAAGGGGTCAAGGTTAGTTGGCTAGAGATGGTGACCCTGACAAAATGATGGCTATAACAAGTTTTTGAAAAGTGTTTTGACTGACATATAATGGAAAACACACCTACCATGGAAGAAAGAGCAGCTGGAGATGTGCTTCTTACTGCCTAAAGTGGAGGCGGAGGCCTAGCATTTACACTGGTGTAGTACAATGGTTCTCAAACCAGTCCTAAGTGGTCCACATTTTTATTTTATCCCTGTTTGTTAGGAGTTGGGACTGGGCAAAAATACGGACTATCTTGGGGCCCTTAGGACTGGTCTAAGAATCACTGGTGTGGTATATGCAAAAGCATTAGCCTAATTTAAACCAACACTCCTGAAAATGTAAACTGTCTTTAAAAAGATACAGTTATGTTGTATATAGATTTGGTTTGCTAGTGGTTCGTTAGTGAGCTCTAAATATCTTGTTGCATAAGAGAAGAGAAATCAGGAAGAGCAGCTGTGTGTTCTTAGAGAGGAGGTCCCATATTGTTTTCACAGATTTGAGCGTTAACAGATATAACAGTATGCATCCTGTGCTTATCGCCAGCTTCCCCTTCTCTCTGCCCTCGCTGAGGAACCAGCAGTCACACCATCTGTTCTTCTTCTCTCTCTCTCTCTCTCTCTCTCTGAGTCTCTTTCCTTTTCTCTTTTTCTCTCGTTTTCTTTACCTCTTCTTTCTCTTTGTCTAGTTCTTCCTTTATACACTAAATTTGTTTCTCTAACTTTCTCGCCATTCCTGTGAACCTGGGAACCATCCCTGGACTTTTCTCCCTGTCTCCCTTTCCTGCATCTCTTTCATTCTGTCTTACTCATTATTCCTGCTCCTAACCATGCTCTTCTTCTTGCTCTTCTTCCACTCCTCCAGTCTGCGAGCTCAGTACGGATCAGAGACCCTTTTCAACGCTCTGCATGGCAGCCATGATGGTGAGCAGGCCAGTAGGGAGCTGGCCTTCTTCTTCCCCAGCTTCAGGACGGCGGTGTCAGGCGAGCATTCGGGCCTTGCCGGGCCGGAACCGGAGCCTGTGGAGAGGACACTGGCACTCATCCGGCCTGACGCAGCCAGAGAAAACAGAGGCATGTGCCAAAACCATGTCTGTGTGCACGGAAACGCAGGCCTGTAGGCACACACATGCGGAGTGAAAAGAGAGAGAAACAGAAATACGTACACAGTTATGTAATCGCCTAGGCTGTGTACCATACCAGTAGTTTTTCCCTATTGGAGCACCTATTACTTACAGCCTTGGTGCCAGTAATCTAAAGTCTCCTAAAATTAAAAATTACTTTTTTAAATATAATTCTTAGGTACCTATAATCTCTCTCTCGCTCTCTCTCTCTCTCTCTCTTTCTTTCTGTGTGTATATATATATATATATATATATATATATATATATATATATATATATATATATATATAGGCATACATTAGTTCCTAAGTAACGTTGTTGGGTCTTGTAAAAAGTCCACTAAAGTTAAAACTGGGAATTTCATTTTGTACTAACTTCACGCATTGAATTAAAGGCAATCTTGTGTTGACAGAGGAGATCCTAGCGAGAATCCATGAGGCAGGTTTTACAGTGGCAATGCAGAAGGAGGTGATGCTCACAGAGGAACAGGTGCGCCAGTTCTACAGTCAGCATCTGGATGAGGACTATTTCCCTGCTCTCCTCTCAAACATGACTAGGTAATCAGCTTTCAAGACTGTAGGACTCAACAGATTATGTTCCCCACTGTCCTTGACTGACGAAATAAATTCCTGTACAGCTTGCTTTCTACTACCAAATGGAAAGCATGCACACTTTCTCCTTTATTGGTTATAAGGCTTTTTTATGGCCAATTCCATAAAAGAAACTGGCCAAGATAAGGACATAAGGATACATAGTTCATTTTTCTTAACTGCAAAGCTTCCAATTTTAGCAATGCCTTTCCATGAAGCATTGCTCACAAAAATCTTTTTTTGTGATATTGTATATACTGTATAATGAATAAGGAGAGTGTGATAGGTTGTGTTGATGTGTGTAGCGGTCCTGTGCTGGCTCTGGCCTTGGCAAAGCAAGGGGCTGTGGATCACTGGCGAAACCTTCTGGGACCCAAAGACCCCACACAGGCGAAGGGGGAACAACCAGACTGGTATGCTGACGTTTCAGTTTGTAATAATATCAATCCAGTAATACCAATGGACATTGCAAATCCAATCTTAATCTACACATTTAAAAAAAAATACCCTTTTAAACAAATACATTTTCAAGTGCAAACTCTATAAGACGTTGCATCTGCCTGTTTACAATACTCTGCAGAAGTCAGAGACCACTCTTCATTTAATTTCTAGACAAAATGGCCATTACCTATAAGTTATTCATTTTTCAGTAGATATTCTGAGGAGATTAGATATAAGATAATCCACTTATGTAAGGGAGGGGAAAATCAGATATAAACATTCAGACATTTCCAAAACTGAAATTCAAAAAATCATTGCGATATACAGAAAATGGGACTTCTAACAACAATGCAAGACAGGGTAGAACACCAGAACTGTCACCAGCAGATAAACAGTACTTAAAGCTTTCATCTTTGACAAACAGGAGAAAATCAGGCTCCACTCTTGATTCAGATCTGAAAAATTCCACGTTTCTGTCCATTATCTTCCATTGTGAGAAGACATTTCAACGCTGTGGGTCTGAAAGGATGTGTAACTGTCAAGAAGCTGTTAGTGAAAAAAGGCAATAAAAGAAAAAAAAGAAAATCGGCTGGTGTTCTCAGAACAATGGACTACCCACCCCAAAGTCCAGAACTCAACATCATTTTCTATTAAATAAAAGATTTCTGCTTTTTTCTGACACTGAAAAATGAATAATTGAATGGTGGTCTCTGACTTTGGCCCAGTCCTGTAGGTCTATGTTCAGCCCTTTTTGCGTGTTTTATGTGTGTGTATGATTCTCAAGCCTGCGAGCTCAGTTTGTGGGGGCGAGTGAGCGTGTGAACCAGCTGCATGGAAGTGTGAGCTTGGAGGAGGCTGAGAAAGAGATCAGCTTCTTCTTCCCTAAAGAGCATACGATGGCTGTTATTAAACCTGACACTGCGGAGGAACACAGAGGTACTGTAACAATCCGTGTTGAGAGTGTCTACAACAATTTCCTACAATTCACGTTCTATTATTGTACAGGTGTTACTGTCTCTCCACACTTGTTCCAGCAGCTCATGGTTTATGGAGCCGTCGTATTCAGCTTATATAAACTATTTTTTTTTAAACACGCCAAATCACATTTACAGGGAAATAGTGGAGAGGGTAGGAAAACCTCATGTCTTATTGGCCAGAGTGGCCATTGGTCATGTTACTTGGTCATTTGAACCAAGTACTGTGATGACTAATAAGAAGTAAAACCTTGAATGCCCTAATTAGTATGATGTTTAATAATGCTCATTATAAACTACTGACTTTTAATTAGTCTAGTGTAGAACTAAAGTTACTAGAACTGATTAGACGAATACATGCAGTAGATAATCTGTATTGATGTCCGGCTTCCCAATATTTTGTACTATCTCTAAAGCATTTTAGCTCATTCCATGTCTATCATCTTATATATGACTCTGGGATTAATTTTGCATATCTGTTCCACAGAGGACATTCTGAGAGAGATCCAAGCAAGAGGCTTCACCATCTCCCAACTGCAGGAGACAGTTTTGTCCAGGGAAATGGCAGAAGAGTTCTACAAAGAACACCGAGACAAGCCTTTTTTCGGCCAGTTAGTGGATTACATGTGCCGGTAAGCTCACACACACACATGGAAAAACGTCTGCTCAAAACTGCTTTGCAAAATCCAAAGTATATCTGTCATACACTTCACTTACTGACTAGTGTAGGCGAATTATGTGTTGGTAAGGTCAGAATTTCAATTGCATGATAATAATCCAGAGTCAACCTTTCTAAATTGGACAGCTCACTGTAAGTTTGCCCAAAAATGTCTTCGGGGTTTGTCCCTGAGTCTACCTGTTCCTTGCAGTTTAGTTTCATCATATTGTACATTTAAATTCAGACACCTAAGATGTGCTCCTCCACTGAATTTGTGCAAGTGTCTGTTGGCCTCAGGGCCTAGGGGGTGCTGCATGTGCTGATTCTTTCTCTAGCATCAGCTGATCCTTGTGTCTCATTTGAATTCCTCTGAAGCTGGTTTGATGATTATCAGCAAAGATGAGGAGATTTTCAGTCAGATCTTTTTAAGGCAAACTCATGTACAGTGTGTAGAGTGCATCCTAAGGGCTGTAATTAGCATGAGGATATTTGTGGTGTAAGTTGGTATTAAAGATAAAATGGGAATGTACAAACTGTTCATTGTTGTTTTTCTGTTATGAATAAATTTAAATCACCATGTAGCATCAGATACTGATTTTGTGAGTTTGAACTATGCCTTCTATGTTGACGGTAGTATGAAGGGAGTCTGTAATTGAGGGAGGGGAGAGAACTCTGAGAAACTGGGCTTGAGCTAGAAGGGCAGACCCCCCTTTTTGGATGGTGGTAGGACTGACATAGGACCAGTGAAGAGATAGGATGGTGGTGGGGACTGTGGAAACATCATGGGAAATGGAAGGTGGAGATGGGAATTTATAAGGCGTTAGATTTGAAGGAGGAGGGGTTTCAAATTTCAATTATTCCGAAATTCCATTAAATGGAGCTATTTTTAAATCAATAATAATTAGTTAATAACTTGGCACCATTTTTGCTGTATTGGCATGTTAAGACAAAATACCCAACAAGCAGGAGATTCCACAAAACTAATGGTTGTAAACTGACCTTTAATGTAGTTGTCGCCAGCCCTTCTCCTGGTGATCTACATTTCTGCTGAGTTTAGTTCCAACTTGTTAGGTAAGGGGGTTGCATCTAACAAGCTACATTCCCTACCTAACACGAATGTATCTGATCCAGCCTATCTAGAAATCCCTACATCAGCAAATGTTTCAACAGACAAAAGAAAGCTTTTGTGTTTAGTGTTGTTTTGCTCTAATCCCCATAAACCCATGAACTATAAATCACTATGAAATAGGTTTGCACTGATACAGAATTGCGGGCTGATGCCGATATCCGATATTATCCAATACCAAGATATCAACATTTGTAAAAATGTAGAAATTGAGGTTACATGTACTTGGATAAGCATTACTGAGTAATATAATATTTATGTCTGTGAAGGTACAAAATTCTATATGCACTCAAAAAATCTGTACCTTTTAGGGTTCAAACGCTTCCACTAGGTTGGCACCCTCAGGGATACATATGGGGTACCTTTATTCAGGGAACAAAATATTTCATTGCAGTTATTTTTTTTTCTATTTTTATTACATTGACTCCATAAATCCTGTGTTGACTCCAGACTTTGTACCAATATGCCCCTTTCCCCAGATAAAGTCAATATACTGAATGCAGTGTACCTTTAAAGCTCATTCAGGTTACACAGTTGAACTTTAAGGACAATGTTGTGCCTTTGAAGATACATTTGCATTGTTTGTACCTTGGGGGACTAAAATGTACCCAGACCGTACCTTTTTCCTGACATTGTATATCATTTAATTTTTACATGTAACTGGAGAAATATCATGGCTAGTACATATTTCTCTTCAAAGAATACTAGTTGATTTTATTTAGAATCCGTTTTTGCCACTAATATTGTAATGAATATGCTAACATGGACAGAAAGAGCTGACTGTAGACTGTAGATCTGATCCAACTGATATATACGGGTCTCTCCTTTCCCACAGTGGTCCATGTACAATGCTGATTCTGACTAAAGAGAATGCAGTCGAAGAATGGAGGGCCATGATGGGGCCTACTGACCCCAGTAAGGCAAAAGAGACAGCACCAGAGTCTCTGAGAGCACGCTTTGCTAAAGATATCCTGGAGAACACTGTCCATGGTTCATCCAATGTACAGCATGCACAGGAGAAAATACATTTTATCTTTGGAGAGATCAGCTCAGAGTCTGAAGTCATAAGTGCAGAAGATGAGGAGCCCCCTCCTTTAGGTAATCTCATCAGTGGTCAGGAATTTTATAGCTAGATTACATTATAATGTACAATTAATGTAAAACTGTGCATTATATCTACAGGTTTAAGCAAATATCAACAAATTGAAGCTTAAAATGACCTTCAAATGATTAATAGGTTGAAATCACCTTCAGATGTGCTTTGTTGAGAACTTTTGTATTTTGATTTTCTAACTAAATTTTGATCAGTGATTCCAAGTTTTATTGCTGATTCTGTGTTGATATAGATCAGCACATTAGAGTTAACATGTACATAAAGGTCATTTAACAACTGACTGGCTGAAGATGAGTTGCTGCAGCTCTCTGAAAAGTATTTTGTATTCACCAAACTGTTCAGGGCTAATCTCAGGGCTGTGAAACTGTTTTTACTCTGGTTGGGGCTTCATTCAAAAAAAGGTTAATTCAGCCCTTCAAGAGAGGTTTGCAGTTCATTTGGAGAAAAGCACAGTGTTTAAGGGTAAATGTAAAATTGTTCATTCACTAGAAGCAGAAGAGAGCTTTGCAGAGCTGAAGAACCTCCAGACATCAAGATCACCCTCATTTAGTGAACTGAGGAACCAGACTGAGCCAAACAGTGAAGGTTTGTCAAACATGAGATAGAAAATGTTTTATACTGTATGTGTTTGTATTGCTGGTGATAAAATTAACAAAGCCTAACTCTACAAGCTTAGTACCGGACTGAACATGGTGTTAAATACTGATTTGAAAATCCTTTTTCCTTTAAACGAAACACAAACACAAATTCTTCATGTATGATAGAAACGCCTGGATAACTGAACTAATGAAAGCCTTTGATATTTGTACAGAAGCAGGAAGCCCTGCACATTTGGACCCAGAGGCAACAAAGAGCCAGCAAGTGTCTGCTGAATTAACCACAAACTCGTCAGAGCAAAGGGAAGCACAAGAGACGTCCACTCCCAGCAGTGGTAATTGAGGTCTGTGTCCCACTGGCACCACTGACATCTAGGTCTTAGAAAGAAATCATTATGCCTCAATGCTTTTTCAGTTTCCCAAAAGCACTGAGGCATAATGATGATTGTTACATGATAGAACAGGCATCACTGTCCACCATGAAACCACTACTCTTATGCTGAGGAAACGCAGCCATGTATGCTTCTTGACCAAAGACTATGTCCTGACCTTAGACCTCATGACAGTTTGAGCAAACTCCCCACTAAAACCTTTTTTCTTTAGTCCAGGATTAGGCTTAAGGGAGTGCTGAGCTGCAGTTATGCCTTTTGTTTTGTTAAGTTGTTAGCTTGCTGCTGGTCCAATGGCAAGATATAACCTTCCTTTTAAGTTATAAATTCAGTTAATCTTTGTTAATATTACACTTAAGCAATTTAGAGAAAAATCCGTCTTTAATACAAAATAAATACGAAATATTTCTGAATTTTGTATTTTAAGGGATGACTTGTAGGCAGCCTAAATGTTTTGAATTGACTTCACGCTGTTAGATTGACCACAACTATCCCTTGAGCAGGGTGACTTATCTGCATAGGAGTTGAGTGTCTTTTGTGACCTGTGTGATTCTCGTGTGTGCATTCTTTGGTTTAAACAAACCAGAAAATATTAATGTGGCTTTCTTTTTGCTAAATATATAATCGGTGAAAAAAGGTCCATTTATTCAGTAGCGTTTTACATGCATTTACTGCTTTTGCAGCAACTTTACCAACAATAATAAACCAACAATGCTTTATTAATGAACAATTCTCAAACAATATGTACAACAGTTAAGTCATAGCCATGTGTTCCTTATTCATGATATTATACACTCAACCCTATAAAGCAGACCGCTTATGAGGTTAAGTGACTCAGTGGCTCACAGCTAATTAGAACACAGTTTTGTTTGTTTTTTATTCTCAGCATATTGGGTTATCTGCTGAAGTAGTCTTCAATACGTCTTTTCTTGCTGGGGCTTTCGGAGAAGTGATTTTCCTGGTGACCTGAGCTTGTGTGCTCTGTATCCTCCCAGTCATTCACAGCCTCCAGAATTGATTCATCCATATCCTCCTCTGAGAATGACCTCTGGAACATCTCAGTGATGGTCTGCTGCTTGGGGTCCTTAGAAAGGGAGGAAATTACACAGTCTTTAGAGACCTATCAAGGTTCAACTGTTGGCATATAAGTTGTGTGGATGTAATCGTCCTATTTTTCAGAAGTATCTGTAAACTGATGGATCTTTAAATTCGTTACAGTTTCCATTTGTGCAATAATACAGAATTCGGGTTTCATTTTAATAGTGGCAGAGTTGTAGCATTTCTAGACTGACAGTTTCTTTTTTGGTAGTCTGTTGAGTTAGAGTGTTACAAATAAAGTTTTATCTAACCTTGCTACGAAAGCTGGCACACTCTGCCTTGTCTGAAATATTGGATTCAGACAGGCCGACTTGTTCTAGAACGTTCATCTTCTCCTGGATCATCGGCCTGCGGATAGAAAAGAGAGTGACCATGTCAAAACAAATAAGGGAAGCCAAATAGCATCGATCAAAGTACCTAAGAGAAGATTTCATTTACCAGAGGTAGTCATCAGCTGTGCCTTTGGCCACCAGGTAGTGAATGTCCACACTGCTGGTTTGACCAATTCGATGCACTCTGTCTTCTGCTTGAATTAATATCTGTAAATACATATATAAAGAAATAACGGGTGGGGAACATGGCAAAAAAATGAATAAAGAGTCATGAAGACTATATGCTTCATGATGTTTATTAGGGATTTGATAAATTGTAACAGACACAATGCACGTTTTTGTAAAACATAACCTCAAAAACTATGTACAATCACTTTTTTCAAGTACTGATTATCTGCACAATAATGTATCATGTTTTTTTTTGTTTATGATAAATACCATCATATTGTCCATCCCTACACCTGAATGCTTTTTACTAAGCCTGCATATTTGCCTCATTGTTCCATTTTGTCAAGTTTGTTTCATCTTCTGCTTGCAAAACTGCTCTTTGTCAGTGTCTTCAGAGCCAGACATTAAAGGCTAGAAGTAATTATGATGCTGTTCTATTCTGTGTCTGTGCTTTACTGGCCAAACAGGTATGTGGTACAAGGGCCAGTGAGCAGGGATGCTAAATCTGATGAGCAAATCTGGGGCAGTCTGAGCTAAAAGACTAAAATCCTAGAGAAAACACTGGACATAATCAAGAGAATTTACAGGGTTCAGAGTTTTAAATGAAGATCTATTAAAAACTCTTTTGACAAAATCAGCCTTCTTAGTCCCTCTGTTAGGACTCTGAGGAGCATACTAACCCCTGGGTTCCAGAAGAGCTCGGCAAAAACCACAAGGTCTGCAGCATGCAGTGTGAGGCCCATGTTCGCAGCTGTGATGGAGAGCACAGCTACACAGCTCTGTTGTGAGAACTGAAACCTCTCACACAACTGCTGCCGCTCAGCTGAGGGCGTGGAGCCATCGATACGGATATAACAGACCCCCTGTGGTGTGAGGGAACATCAACACAAAACATTGGTTAAGAACATTTCAACAGTCCAACATAGGAAAATATTTTTTGTGGAATAAGGGATGTACTTCACAATACAGAAAAATCATAGAAGAGCATGCATATACCAGAGTCACATACAAGTGCAGGACACAATACAACTGGGGGGAAAAAGACAAAGGATAAATGCCCTGATATTACAATGTCCCACTCTATAAAAAAAGCAGTAATTCACAACACTTCAGATGTCAAACCATCATTGGCACCTTCTTCCCATATTCACACAATTCCTAGGATTTTCAAAGCCCATTGAGATAATGTTGCTTTACTCACTCTGGTGTTGGTTGAATGGCTGTATGGAACTCTTACCTTATCAGTCAGCTCTTTGCTTATGCTGTCCAGGACCCGTTTGTGATGAGCAAACACCAGAAACTTCTCTCGTCCGCACTCCAGCATGTCCGATATGTACTCCCTAAGGGAAAGCACATAAGAAAAACAAGTCCATAGAAAAGCAGATTTCAGGCATTCAAGTCTCGCAGCTTTCTCTCCCACATTAACATTTAGTGAATGCCTGTTCACTAATCCAGTAAAAGTGAAGTCTCACATTTCCCAATAGGATCGAGGCATTTTACAGTTTTTTTGTTTTTTTAGCCAGCATATGTGCCCAAAGCTGAGTGTGCACTCTGTACTCTGCTGGAATGTAAGTAAACCATGACTGAGACCTGCGATACTCACATGATGGCTCTGATTTTGGCCTCTGCTGTGTGGTTAAAGAAGACTAGCAGAGCCTCTTTCTCCTGCATCTTCTGTAGAAACACAAACCCAAGTCACCATTCACTCACAGAGTAGCAAAATATGTTTGCAATATTTATGATAAGGCATAATTACTGTAATTTATGCAGTTACTAAGGCCTTAGAAATGGTACATCAATATTAGAGAGAGAAAATGCACATAGGAACAAAACTGCTGGATAAATAAATAAATTTAAAATAATAAAATAAAATTTGCATAATACAAGTTAAAAAGTGTAAACATGGCATCAATCACAACTACACTACAGCTTTGGGGCTATGACGTGCAACATAACTTTCTATGATTTTCAAAGTGCTAAAGAGTTTGTCTTTCTAATTACAATCTAAGGTCACTTGCATTGTGGCGTCCGCTGGCCAGCTCCTTGGCTGCAGCTGAGAGAGCAGCCTTGGTGCGGGCGTTGATGCCATCTGTAGTCACAGTAACCACTTTGCGCTGCTTTGCAGGAAGCTGTGAGAGCACGTCGGACTTGAGCCGTCTCAACATCAGAGACTCCTCCAACAGCAGCTTCAACTCAGTCAGGTTAGAGGAGCCAGAGTAGTCCCAGCCCCAGGGGAGCTACAGCGAGATAGAGAGGGCAAGAAAGGGAGAGAGGAAGAGGCAAGCGGGGAGGGAAGGAAGGAGGGAGAAAGATTAATATTAATGCTGGTGATGGAAAATATCCTAGTTACAGTGACATTATTTATGGCTACATCCATATCATTTCAGAACTGAACACAGAGTGGTAAAGTAACCTCATTTAAACTGATTAAAGCCCTTGAGCACTGAAGGGTTCCAGTACCTGTTTAGCGTCACAGTATCTCACCCCGAACTCATGGAAACGGGGGAAGAGCGTGGGCCTCACAGCCAGGATCTGAGTGTATAGCTCAGCCGGACGGGACATAGCAGGAGTTCCTGACAGTAGGACTACTCTCTTAGCTGCCTGCCGCATTCACACAGCATGAGACAGAAACAAAAAAACATTTTAGTAATACAGAAAGATTAAGAAAAGGCATCAGAACAAACAGAGTAATTTACAAAATCGTTAAGCATTTCAGTAGACTAAGTGAGGCTTCAGAGCAAGACACTATGAGCAAACTTTCATAAATGGTTCTGAGTCAGTGCAGACTAATTGTGCCTTTGTGTCTGGCTCCTGTGCACCCTGGAGATAATGGAGGAATTCATCAAACCTTCAGTAGAGGAAGAGAAGCCCTGCAGCGAGCCGTTTTAATGTTCTTCAGGAAGTGGGATTCATCCTGCAAATGCACACAAATACACAAACAAGAAGGAAAGAGATCAGGCAATGTCCATGCAACATATTAATACTAATATAGACACTGGTAGAAGTGTTAGATTATGTTTTTTGTTGCTTTTCTAAGTGAAAATAAATTAACACATCCTATACAGTGAACACACTTCTAGACATTTTACTGTACATTACTGTTTATTTGCTGAATTTAACATATAAGGAAAAAATTAAATGTGTGCAAAAGTTTAGATTTTTCCAATATGTTAAACTCGGCAAATAAATCGTAATTGTGCCAGAAAATGTGCAGAAGAATGCCATATTTAAGTTTGTTCCCTGCCGAGGATGTGTTTACTATTTTCGGTTAGAAAATCAACAAAACAGTTAATTTGATCAGATATATTAGTGAACAAAATGAGCTCAGCAGAATGTATTTATGAGTTTCAATAATGCAGTGACATTCTTTTCATTGTGCGAGTGCATAATTCACAGGAACCTGAACATGAAAATCACATGATTTCCACTGATTGTAAGCTGAACACAGTTCGCAATTTTCCTCACTAAGGCCCTGTGAGAGCAATAGTGGATGCATTTTTCAACTCTTCTGCAAATGTAGTCCCCTTCACCCTTATACTGCTGTTACATCTTGTCTCGAGGGAACATTAGATTTCCACTTTGTTCTTGCTTTTGTTAGTTTGCTGCTTATTGATTTATCCATAGTTCTCTCTCAAGCACTTCCCAGTCTGCTGAGGGCATCCACTAGTGCTAACATTAATGACATTACTGGATATTACTTTGCTTAAAACTCCACGACATTCAGTGATTTACAAGGTTCACCATTGCAGTAGATGAAAATAGCTTTGGTTTTATCACATGGCTTCTACTTCTGTTTACAGCTATGCAATGTTCTTTTGTCCAGTCTAGTAACTTGATAAGATGTTTGCATGATGCTAACATATCTTTGTGAGGGACTACATTCAAGGGACAACTATATCTACAAGCATGGCACAACAATCAGTGAGATAATATAGGAAAAATACAGGAGAAAATATAAGAGGCTTGCCAAACAGTTCATTAGATTGAGATCAAGAGGGCTATATCCTGTCCCATCTCAGTCATAGGATACCCTCATTGAGCATTACATTTCTTGCCTTCCCTAAGCTACATTTAACCTCATGTCCTCTCATTTGTTTCATAAGACTACAGCTAGAAAGGGCAGCATACCATGATGAGCACGCCGAAAGGGTTGGCTAAATGCTGCTTGTCCATCTTGCTGAGCAGGTCATAG